CTGTAACGAAGGCAGGGAGGAAAAATTCTGGTGTTGTTTCTAGCCTAATCTTTATTGCCCTGCTTACAGAAACTACCTCTCCGGTTAACCCTTATTACATTGTAACAACTAAGGCAAAGTGCTCATCGACTTGAGTGATGTTGAGTTGGCCACGCCTACACGGTCACATGACCACTAAGCCCTGCCTTCCCACCTGGTCATTAGGACAGAGAACCAGTTGTTAAATTATTTGAATCCCACCACTGGTTTGTGAGCACTATATTACAGTTTTGATGGACCGGGATGAGTTTGATATCTGAAAATCACAGTCTAAAGATACTAGAGCCATTAACGGGTCCAAGAAAGCAAAGAGCTCAGAGTGAAATGAACACAACAGTACAAGACAACAGTACTACATGATGTGGTGTTCCACATCAAGTGTGAGGGAGAGATTCTGGTCTCTACTGAACAGTGAGAAAACTTATCAGAATTTTAAATTCCTACCTCCTCTTCCTTTGCATATAAATGATAGCAAAGACGTTGGACAGTTCCCAAGCTTGTGATTGCTTCTGGAATGCCTGCCCTTGTGTGGGCCAAGCTAGCTAATAATTTTCCTAAAGGTGGGGAAATGGAATGAAAGCATAAATATTTGTAAATTGTGCAAGTAAATTATATTCAACACAATTCAGTACAACTAGAACGGGGATCAGCAACCCACGGCTATGGAGCTGCATGTGGCTCTTTCATCCCTCTGCTGCGGCTCCCTGTTGCCAATCAACTCCACAATTGATAGGGCTTTCGGTTAAGACAGGTAGAGGAAAAAGGATGCTGCGCTAGAAGGAGACACTAGTGAGGGAACCAGACTTCCGGTCGGCTCCAGAATTGAACGGGAGGCTTCAGTTTAGGACCTTTGCGGCTCTTTGAGTGTTTAAAGTTGCCAACCCCTGAACTAGAACTTCCAAAGCATCAGGCCAGAGTTTCTCAAACTGTGATCCAGGATGATTTATGGGGTAACAGCCCACTTGAAATGGATTTGATTTTCATTTTTTGAAAACCTTGCCTAGTGCAGATAGAACGGAAGACTGAAAATACGATCTGGGTTTTGCTTCTGTCTTTGCCTGCATTACCCTAGTGGGCAGTTGTGGAACTTGTGAGATATAGATTAACATTAAATGATTAAAAGTAGCATTTTTAATTCCTGTTCCACTTTAATCTCAGTACTGATGGAAATTATACACATTCATTTATCATTTTATGGAGTTCCAGAATTGCAAAATCTGAAATATTATGTATCAATCAATTGTGATTTCTTAAATATTTTAATGGAACGAGACTTTTAATATACTATAGCTCAATTTTCATTAATTTTGTTTCTCTTCTTTTGGCATGCTTAGTCAGATGAAAAGTTAGGTATGTTTTAATTCAGTTAACCACTTCTAAAGGGGGAGATGTGTACAATGTCTATGAAGGAACCAAACTTCGTAACTGAAATTAAGGAAGGAATCAACATTATGCAAACACAAGTAGTAGAACAAAGACAAACTAGAGTCTTGGATTTTAAGAGAGCTAATTTCAATAAACTTAGAGATTGCTTGGGAAGAATTCCATGGATAAGAATCCTCAAGGGGAAAACAACTCAAAGAGCCGCAAAGG